GAGGCAGAGGTTGTAGTGAGCCGAGATTGCATCATTGCACTCCACCCTGGGCGACAAGAGCAAAACTCCATCTCAATCAACCAATCAATCCTAATTTGCTGTTGGCTTTTGCAGGCCCACTGTCGCCGTGGGTGTCAGGGGTTGTCAGGGTACGCTGCCTTACTTCTGGATGATGAAGCTGTAATTGTCTTGTAGGGTCAAAGCGTCCAGGATGCCCTTGGAACAGGCAGAAATTTTGCTGCAAGCAAAAAAGGACATTGATCAATTTCCCGACCTCACAAGGAACCAAACCATTAAGTATTGGACAGAAAGGGAGGGACCGGGCGTGGTGGCTCAGGCCTGTAATCCCAGCACTTTGGGAGGCTGAGGCCAGCAGATCGCTTGAGGTCAGGAGTTGGAGATCATCCTGACCAACATGGTGAAACCCCGTCTCTACTAAAAATATCAAAACTAGCCGGGTGTGGTGGCGCACGCCTGTAATCCCAGCGACTCAGGAGGCTGAGGCAGGAGAATCACTTGAACCTGGGAGGTGGAGTTTGCAGTGAGCCGAGATCATGCCACTGCACCCCCAGCCTGAGCAAGACTCTGTCTCAAAAAAATTAAAAATGTGGATATCACCAACAGGTGAAGGAGGAGAGACCAACATGCTAGAAACAAACTTAACCTATTAGTGTGAATCGTTTAACTTTTAATTGTGGCAATAATATATATGAAACAGAATACTCTAAAGTCATCTACCTCAGCAATTGTTCTCTCCCCACTCCCCTCCAATATCAACATACTTACTTTCTTTCTTTCTTTCTTTTTTTTTTTTTGAGACAAGAGTTGCGCTGTGTCACACTGGCTGGAGTGCAGTGGCTCGATTTCAGCTCACTGCAGCCTCCACCTCCTGGGTTCAAGTGATCCTCCTGCCTCAGCCTTCCAAGTGGCTGAGATTACAGGCGCCTGCCACCACACCTGATTACTTTTTCTTTTTCAGTAGAGATGGGGTTTTGACATGTTGGCCAGGCTGGTCTCGAACCCCTGTTCTGAAGTGATCTGCCCGCCTCAGCCTCCTAAAGTGCTGGGATCACAGGCGTGAGCTACTATACGCGGCCTCAACACACTTACTTCTGGATGATGATCCTTTTATCCAGGTCACAGCCGATTGAAATCAGGGTTGACTGCAGAGGAGAGACACACAAATGCAAATTCAAGTCAGTGAGGGACACCCAGACACAGTGAACCCCATACAGGAACATGCTCCCATGGAAAGCGCTTGGAAACCATGTGGCCTGCATCCCAACTGGGTGCCCTTACGCCTGGGACGTGCTGTAACCGCAGCTGGCCCCGTGAAAGTTCAACTCTAAGAGCCTGGGACATGGCTAAACTCCACGTGTCGCCTGACGAGCTTTTAGTGGCTTCATGGAGACCAAAACTAATTTTTTTAATTAATTTTTTTTGAGACGGAGTCTTGCTCTGTCACCCAGGCTGGAGTGCAACGGCATAATCTCGGTTCACTGCAACCTCTGCCCGCTGGGTTCAAGCGATTCTCCTGCCTCAGCCTCCCGAGGAGCTGGGATTACAGGTGCGTGACACCACGCCAAGCTAGTTTTTGTATTTTTAGTAGAGACAGGCTTTCACCATGCTAGCCAGGCTGGTCTTGAACTCCTGACCTCAGGTGATCCGCCTGTCTTGGCCTCCCATAGCAATGGGGTAACAGATGTGAGCCACCGTGCCTGGGCAGGTCTGTGGTTTTTAGACATTCACAGAGTAATGTGATCATCACCTCTGTCTAATTCCAGAACATTTTATTATTTTATTTTACTTTTTTTTTAAATCCCCAAACCCCCCTACTTTTTTTGAGACATAGGCTCCCTCTGTCGCCCAGACTGGAGTGCGGTGGCATGATCTCAGCTCACTGCAACCTCCACCTCCCGAGTTCAAGCAATTCTCCTGCCTCAGTCTCCGAAGTAGCTGGGACTACAGGCGTGCACCACCACACCCAGCTATCTAATAAATTTTTTTTTCTCTAGCAGAGGTCGAGTTTCACCAAGTGGGCCAGGTTGGTCTCGACTCCTGACCTCAGGCGTGAGCCACCACGCCCGGCCGGTCTCTGCTGTTTGGGCATTGTAAAATATGCTGCAGTGAACATGCGTGGCCAAGCTCAACAGTGGACCCTGTTCTCTTGGAGCACCTAGAAGTACATTACCTGAGTTGCTCTGACACAGTTCTGGGGATACCCAACAAGAAACAGGCACATGCGTTCAGAATGGTGCGTATGAGGAGGCAGCCCTGGGGTATAATGATGGGGGAGGGGAAAGTGACCCCAGCAATGCGGACAGGATCACCTCCATCTCCAGACCCTGAACAAGGGCTCGGACAGCCCCTCAGGGCCAGCTTCTATAAGTCCTAACCCTTAAGACACCAAATATGAGACAGCAAAGATTTGGGACCTACCAGGGGCTTGACATCCACACATGAAATTTCCTTGTTTGCTATGTCCACAGTTACAGTAGATATGGTGGCTCTCTTTAAGCTGCAAGGCAATGGAATCTGTGTTATTAGAGAATGGCACCCCTGTAAACAAGGCTGCATTCCATTCATCCTTCCATCCATCCAACCATCCATCCATCTAACCATCCGTCCATCCATCCAACCATCCATCCATCTAACCATCCGTCCATCCATCCAACCATCCATCCATTCCATCCACCCACCCATCCATCCATCTCATCCATCTTTCGATCCATTCATTCCACCCACTCATCCATCTATCCACCCATCCATCTCTCTATCCATCTACTCATCCATCTACCAATTTATCCATCCATCCATTCCATCCACTCACCTATTCATCCATCCATTCACTCATTCATCTATTCATTTATTCATCATCCATCCATCACCCACCCAACCATCCATCCTTCCCTCTATCCATCTATCCACTCATCTGTCTACCCATTTATCCATCTGATATGGTTTGGTTCTGTGTCCCCACCCAAATCTCATGTCAAATTGTAATCCTCACATGTTAGAAGAGGGACCTGGTGGAAAGTGACTGGATTATGGGGGCAGTTTCCCCCGTGCTGTTCTTGTGATAGAGAGTGAATTCTCACAATAGCTGACAATTTAAAAGTGTGTGGGGCCAGCCTCGGTGACTCATGCCTGTAATCTCAGCACTTTGGGAGGTCGAGGTTGGTGGATCACCTGAGGTCAGGAGTTTGAGACCAGCCTGGCCAACATGGCGAAACCCCGTCTCTACTAATAATACAAAACTTTGTCAGACATGGTGGCACATGCCTGTAATCTCAGCTACTTGGGAGGTTGAGGCATAAGAATTGATTGAAACTGAGAAGTAGAGGTTGCAGTGAGTGGAGATCACACCACTGCACTCTAGACTGGGTGACAAACTGGAATGGTGTCTCAAAAAAAAAAAAAGACGTATGGCAGGCTAGGCGTGGTGGCTCACGCCTATAATCCCAACACTTTGGGAGGCCAAGGTGGGTGGATCACTTGAGGTCAGGAGTTTAAGATCCGTCTGGCCAACATGGTGAAACCCCATTTCTATTAAAAATACAAAAAAATTACCCAGGAGTGCTGGCATGCGCCTGTAATCCTAGCTACTTGGGAGGCTGAGACAGGAGAACTGCTTGAACTTGGGAGGCAGAGGTTTCAGGGAGCCAAGATTGAGTCATTGCACTCCAGCTTGGGCAACAAGAGTGAAACTCCAACTCAAAAAAAAAAACAAATGTGGCCGGGTGTGGTGGCTCACGCCTGTAATCCAAGCACTTTGGAGGCCAAGGCGGGTGGATCACCTGAGGTCGGGAGTTCAAGAACAGCCTGGCCAACATGGTGAAACCCCGTCTTAAAAAAAAAAAATGTATGGCAATTTCTTTATCTGTCTGTCTCCTGTTGCCCTGAGAAGACATGCTTTTTTCCCCCTTCACTTTCTGCCATTATTGTATGTTTCATAAGACCCCCAAGTCATGCTTCCTGTTAAGCCTGAGGAACTGTAAGTCAAAAACCCTCTTTTCTTTATAAATTATCCAATCTTATGTAGTTCTATATAGTAGTGTGAAAACAGACTATGACATCGTCCATCCATCCATCCATCCATCCCTGAATACTGGCTGGGTGAGGTGGCTCATGCCTGTAATCCTAGCACTTTGAGGGGCTGAGGTGGGCAGATCACTTGAGGTCAGGAGTTCAAGACCAGCCAGGCTAACATGGTGAAACCCTGTCTCTACTAAAAATGCAAAAATTAGTTGGGCGTGGTGTCATGTGCCTGTAATCCCAGCTCCTCGGGAGGCTGAGGCGGGAGAATCGCTTGAACCCAGGGGGTGGAGGTTGCAGTGAGCCGAGATCGTGCCATTGCACTCCAGCCTGGGCAACAGAGTGAGACCCTGTCAAAAAAATCCAAATGCTAACTGAGAGCCTGTGGTCACAAATGGCGCTTAAACTTCCATCGAGTTTTCACTGCTTCTTGAGTCAGTTTTGTTTTGTTTTGTTTTAAGACAAAGTTTCACCGGGCACGGTGGCTCAAGCCTGTAATCCCAGCACTTTGGGAGGCCGAGGCGGGTGGATCACGAGGTCAAGAGATCGAGACCATCCTGGTCAACACGGTGAAACCCCGTCTCTACTAAAAATACAAAACATTAGCTGGGCATGGTGGCGCGTGCCTGTAATCCCAGCTACTCAGGAGGCTGAGGCAGGAGAATTGCCTGAACCCAGGAGGCGGAGGTTGCGGTGAGCCGAGATCGCGCCATTGCACTCCAGCCTGGGTAATAAGAGTGAAACTCCGTCTCAGAAAAAAAAAAAAAAAAAAAAGACAAAGTTTCGCTCTTGTTGCTCAGGCTGGAGGGCAATGGCATGATCGCAGCTCACCGCAACCTCAGCCTCCTAGGCTCAAGCAATACTCCTGCCTCAGCCTCTCGAGTAGCTGGGATTACAGGTGCCTGGCACCATGCCCAGCTAACTCTTTTGTATTGTTAGTAGAGACAGGGTTTCACCATCTTGGCCAGGCCGGTCTCGAACTCCTGACCTCAGGTGATCCACCCACCTTGACCTCCCAGAGTGCTGGGATTACAGGTGTGAGCCACGGCGCCCGGCCTCCCTCCCTTCTTACGGCTGAGTCATATTCCGCCATGCAGGTGGATCACACTGTGTTTATCTTTTCATCTGCGGATGGACCCGTCGGTTGACTCTGCCTTTTGGCTGTTGTGAATCGCGCTGCTGTGAGCACAGGTGTGCAAATACCTCCCTGAGTTCCTGCTTTCTATTCTTTTGGGATGGATGGCAGTGGGTCTGTTAGAGCAGATGGTAATGCTGTGTTTAAGTGTTTTGAGGGACCACTTGTAAAGTGTTTTTGTTGTTGTTGTTATTGTTGTTGAGATGGAGTCTCACGGTGTCACCCAGGCCGGAGTGCAGTGGCACAATCTGGGCTCAGCGCAACGTCCGCCTCCCAGGTTCAAGCCATTCTCATGCCTCGGCCTCCTGAGTAGCTGGGATTACAGGCACCTGCCACCACATCCAACTCATTTTTGTATTTTTAGTAGAGACGGGGTTTCAACATGTTGGCCAGGCTGGTCTCAAACTCCTGGCCTCAGGTGATCCGCCTACCTTGGCCTCCCAGAGTGCTGGGATTACAGGCATGAGCCACCTCACCTGGCTCTTATAAAGTGTTTGAATCCTCTTGTTTCACTGTTCTGGAGCTGGGGGTCTGATCTCAGCCCTGCTTCTCTTCCCCTCCTGCTAAGGGAAACCCCGTACGCAGCCCAGTCCCCACCTCTGTCCAGGAGACAGCATACCTGGAAGTGAAGTTGGGGTTGGTCCTGCCCCAGTGCTGCTGCTGTTTTAGGCAAATATCCTGTGGGGTCAAGAGAGAAAATCCCCAGCGCATCCGTGGAACACCATGGGCATCCCTTAACTCAGGACGGTGGGAGAGATGGGATGTCAGAGGGGACATGGAGGGGATGAACCTGGAAGTCGCTTAGCCCGCTCTGTTCCTTCATTTTTTTAGATGGAGTCTTGCTCTGTCGCCCCGCTAGAGTGCAATGGCATGATCCTGGCTCACTACAACCTCCATCTCCCAGGTTCAAGCGATTCTCCTGCCTCATCCTCCCGAGTAGCTGGGACTACAGGTGAGTGCTGTCATGCCCAGCTAGTTTTGTATGTTTAAGTAGAGATGGGCTTTCACCATGTTGCCCAGGCTGGTCTCCAACTCCTGACCTCAGCCGATCCGCCCACCTCAGCCTTCCAAAGTGCTGGGATTACAGGCATGAATCACCATGACCAGCCCAGCCCTGCTCCGTTCTAATCCCACCATCTGTGAAAGGCTTCTGGGAGCTCACGGAAACAACGGCCCCAGTATGACGGCTCCCATTCCCTTGTTCCCTGAGTTCTGGGGACCCACAGTGAGGAGTGCCTGTTTTCCTCGCTCACCTGGATGTGATGTGATGAGCCTAGTCAAAGGAGTCTGCTGTTACCGACTTGTACCTGGTCAGGCCCCTGACCTATGGAAACTGCCCCCACTGAATCCTCATGCCTCAGTTTACTCAGCGAACTCAGATCTCCAGCCCTGCCCTGGGCTGGGTTGGGCTCCTCCCTGTCATGCCATCCAGGAATCTCCCATGTGACACTTACTGATTGATTGATTGATTGATTGAAATGGGTTCTCAATCTGTCGCCCAGGCTGGAGTGCAGTGGCACGATCTCAGGTCACTGCAACCTTCGCCTCCCGGGTACAAGCGATTCTCCTGCCTCAGCCTCCTGAGTAGCTGGGATCACAGGCGTGCGCCACCACGCCTGACTAATTTTTGTATTTTTAGTAGAGATGGGGTTTCTCTATGTTGGTCAGATGGATCTCAAACTCTTCACCTCATGATATGCCCACCTCGGCCTCCCAAAGTGCTGGGATTACAGGTGTGAGCCACTGTACCTGACCCGTGTGACACTTTAATGAGGTCAAGCGCATGGGTGACATCTGCCTGATCATCTTCCCACCACGGGGAAGGGCTAGGGCCTGTGTCCCCTGAAAATTCTTCAGCTCTTTATGCTGGTAAGGGAAGGAGGAAGAGGGGACCCTCAAGGGACACTCGGCCAGGTTTGGTGGGGACATAGCTCACCAGATTGTACTTGGTGTTCCCATCTAACGTGTGACCGCTCTCATAGAAGGTGGCCTGGAACCCCAGGGAGTAGGGGTTGCTCACCATCACCTAGGGGTGGGGGAAAGAGAAGCTGAGACTGTACAGAGCCAGCAGGCAGACAGGACGACAACTCCCCAGAGTGACGCCAGCACACCTTCAGATGAAAAACCAGAGTGAGTCCTGGTGGCTCACACCTGTAATCCCAGCAATATGGGAGGCCAAGGCAGGTGGATCATTTGAGGTCAGGAGTTCGAGACCAGCCTGGCAAACATGGCGAAACCCCATCTCTACTAAAAATACAAAACTTAGCCAGGCGTGGTTACACGTCTGTAATCCCAGCTGCTTGGGAGGCTGAAGCAGGAGAATTGTGTGAACCCAGGAGGCAGAGGTTGCAGTGAGCCGAGATTGCATCGCTGCATTCCAGTCTAGGTGATAGAACAAGATTCCCTCTCAAAATAAAAACAAAAACAAAAGACTGGCTGGGCGTGGTGGCTCACACCTGTAATCCCAGCACTTTGGGAGGCCAAGGAGGGGAGATCACCTGAGGTTGGGAGTTCAAGACCAGCCTGACCAACATGGAGAAACCCCATCTGTACTAAAAATACAAAATTAGCCAGGTGTGGTGGTGCATGCCTGAAATCCCAGCTACTCAGAGGCTGATGGGGCAAAATGCTTGAACATGGGAGGTGCAGGTTGCAGTGAGCCAAGATTGCACCATTGTACTCCAGCCTGAGGAACAAGAGCAAAACTCTGTCTCAAAAAAAAAAAAGTAAAAATTTAAAAAATGAACTTGCTTTGCAAATGCGGCTGCAGGTGCAATCCCTGATGTGTCCCCCCTGCCCTGAGCTACCCCAGAATCACCCACAGCCCCCAGCTGTGGCCTCGAAGCCCTGCAGTGCAGACAGCGTGGATCTGCAGAGCTGTGAGCCTGGGCCTGTCCTGCAGCAGGAGACACAGACGAGGGAGCCCTGGGTTTGAGCCAGAGGCAGCCTGGGGTGTCCCCCTGCAGGCCCTGGTCCCCTTGTATTTTGTGACAGTCCCCCATATCCTCACAAAAGCCATCCCCATTTTCAGCGTAATTACAGATACTCCTTGACTCACGGTGGGGTCATATTCCCATAAATCTATCATAAATGGGAACTATCAGCCAAGTACGGTGGCTCATGTCTATAATCCCAACACTTTGGGAGGCCAAGGTGGGAAGATTGCTTGGGCCAGGATTTCAAGACCAGCCTCGGCAACACAGAGAGATCCTGTCTCTACAAAGAAAAAAACAAAGTTGAAAATATACTAAGTTGAAAATGCGTTGATTTATTTATTATTATTATTTTTGAGACGGAGCCTCACTCTGGAGTGCAGTGGTGCAATCTCAGCTCGCTGCAACCTCTACCTATCAGGTTCCAGTGATTCTCCCGTCTCAGCCTCCTGAGTAGCTGGGATTACAGGCGCATGCGATCACACTGGCTAATTTTAGTATTTGTAGTAGACATGAGGTCTCACCATCTTGGCCGGGCTGGTCGTGAACTCCTGACCTCAGGTGATCTGCCTGTCTCAGCCTCCTGAAGTGCTAGGATTACAGGGGTGAGTCATCAAATTTGGCCTATTTATTTATTTTTAGTTTTAGTTTTGGAGGCGGAGTCTCGCTCTGTTGCCCAGGCTGCAGTACAGTGGTCCCATCTCGGCTCACTGCCATCTCTGCCTCCCAGGTTCAAGCGATTCTCCTGCCTCAACCTCCCGAGTAGCTGGGACTACAAGCACCCCACCACACCTCGCTAATTTTTGTGTTTTTAGTAGAGGCAGGGTTTCACCATGTTGCCCAGGCTGGTCTTGAACTCCTGAGCTTAGGCATTCTGTCCACCTTAGCCTCCCAAAGTGCAGGCACTACATGTGTGAGCCGCCATACCCAGCCTGCAAATGCATGTGATACGCCTACTACCAAGCATTGGAGGTTAGCCCAGCCGACTTTAGATTGAGAACAAACCAAGCAATACCGAAAGGAGAGCAAAGCCCACTCACCCTTCCCCAACTTGGATCATGACTTCAACATTTCAGGGGTGCAGCCTTCCTGAATGTTTGTAGAAATAGATAATACATTTGGATAAACGTGTCCATCTTTAAGTATACAATTCAATGGCATTTGGTAGATTCATTGTGCAATCATCGCCACCACCGAGTTTTATTTTTTTTATTATTTTTATTTTTTTTTTTGAGACAGAGTTTCGCTCTTGTTACCCAGGCTGGAGTGCAATGGCGCGATCTCGGCTCACCGCAACCTCCGCCTCCTGGGTTCAGGCAATTCTCCTGCCTCAGCCTCCTGAGTAGCTGGGATTACAGGCACGTGCCACCATGCCCAGCTAATGTTTTGTAGTTTTAGTAGAGACGGGGTTTCACCGTGTTGACCAGGATGGTCTCGATCTCTTGACCTCGTGATCCACCCGCCTCGGCCTCCCAAAGTGCTGGGATTACAGGCGTGAGCCACCGCGCCCGGCCCACCGAGTTTTAAACTTTCTCCTCACCCCAAACAGAAACTTTGTCCTCATGAAGCAATCGTTTACCTACTTTTAAATTTTTATTTATTTATTTTGAGATGGAGTCTTGCTCTGTTGCCCAGGCTAGGGTATAGTGGTGCGATCTCGGCTCACCGCAACCTCCGCCACCCAGGTTCTAAGCAATTCTCCTGCCTCAGCCTCCCGAGTTGGGATTATAGGCCTGTGCCACCACACCCGGCTAATTTTTGTATTTTTAGTAGAGGTGGGTTTCACCGTGTAGGTCTGGCTAGTCTCGAACTCCTGACATCGTGGTCCGCCCACCTCAGCCTCCCAAAGTGCTGGGATTGCAGGTGTAACCCACCACACCTGGCCTAAATTATTTATTTATTTATTTACTTATTTATTGAGACGGAGTTTCGCTGTTGTTACCCAGACTGGAGTGCAATGGCACGATCTCAGCTCACTGCAACCTCCGCCTCTTGGGTTCAAGCAATTCTCCTGCCTCAGCCTCCCGAGTAGCTGGGACTACAGGTGCACGCCACCATGCCCAGCTAATTTTTGTATTTTTAGTAGAGACAGCGTTTCACCTTGTTGACCAGGATGGTCTCGATCTCTTGACCTCATGATCCACCCGCCTCGGCCTCCCAAAGCGCTGGGATTATAGGCGTGAGCCACCGCGCCCAGCTGCATTTTTTATTTTTTAAGAGACAAGGTCCTGCTCTGTTACCCAGGCTGGAGTGCAGTGGCATGATCATAGCTCACTGCAGCCTCAACCTCCTGGGCGCAAGTGATCCTCCTTCCTCAGCCTCCCAAGTAGCTGGAACTACAGGTGCACGTGACTGCATGTGGCTAATTTTTATCGTTTTTATAGAGACAGGGTCTCACTATGTTGCCCAGGCTGGACTCAAAATCCTGGGTTTAAGGGATTAAGGGCATGAGCCACTGCGCCTGGCCCTCATGCAGTGTATGAATACTATACTAACAGTGAAAAACAGAAAGATTGTATCGGTACTGGAAGCACGGTTTCTACTGAAGGTGATCATTTTTGTGCCATTGCAAAGTCAAAAAAGTGTAGAACCATCTGCACTTACAACTAATGCTAGGCTTAGACACTTGGATTTTAGATCCAGAAACAAGCCCTTCCTGCTGGGTGTGAGAAGGCCTCAGGGGTCAAGGCTCTTAGCTGCTAGCAAGAGAAGCCAGCTCAGGCTGAGTTAAGAAAATGAGGCCGGGCACTGTGGCTTATACCTGTAATCCCAGCACTTTGGGAGACTGAGGTAGGATCACCTGAAGTCAGGAGTTCAAGACCAGCCTGAACAACATGGTGAAACCCCGTCTTACTAAAAATACAAAAATTAGCCAGGCATGGTGGTATGCATCTGTAATCCTAGCTACTTGGGAGGCTGAGGCAGGAAAATCGCTTGAACCCAGGAGGCAGAGGTTGCAATGAGCCGAGATTGTGCCACTGCACTCCAGCCTGGGTGACAGAGACAGGAAAGAAAGAAAGAAGGAAAGAAAGAAAGAAAGAGAGAGAGAGAGAGAGAGAGAGGGAGGGAGGGAGGGAGGGAAAAGAAAAGAAAAGAAAGATCATTTACGGGCAGCTCAGAAGGATGGAGGAGGCACAGAGGCAGCACGAGAGATGACAGGTGGCCGGCCGGACAGCCGTAGCCTCATCACGCCCAAACATGCAGAGGCCCGCCTGGGGCAAGACCCAGAAACGGCCGGGCGTGGTGACTCACGCCTGTAATCCCAGTGCCTTAGGAGGCTGAGGTGAGCGGATCACTTGAGACTAGGAGTTCAAGATCAGCCTGGCCAATATGGTGAAACGCCATCTCCAGTAAAAATATAAAATTAGG